AGGAGAGAGAGAGAGAGAGAGAGAGAGAGAGAGAGAGAGAGCCGCAGGCGGGGTAGGAGGAACGAGCAGTGCAGTCTTGCACACGAGGGCGGAGGCTCACCCTTCTCCTCACAAGGCCGGTGAGTCACAGTGCCCTATACAGTCTTCGTTTGCCATGCCAGGGGATGCTTGCATGGACAATATTCTTGGCATGTTGTTAGCCCGTCCCCCGACTCCACGTGAGCACGGCAATGGCCGTGCTAACGTGGACACGTCACCCATTGGCGATATTGTTGGAGGACTCAACCCAAGCGGGGGTGTCAACAATGGTATGTTGATGGAGGTGGATGAGGGGATTGAGGGAAGGACGGCGGTTATTCCGCAACGTAGGGGGGATGATGCGGAGTATCGACCCGCTGAGGAGATGGATAGGAGGGACAAGCACTTGAGATGGCACGACATTGCGCGATCACGCAAGAGTTCGCAGAGGGCGAGGGAGACAGGGCGTGGACCGGCCGATCTTGCAGTGATTGTTGATGCACATGATCATGATGACGGTGCTGTGGATGCCGAGGACCATCAGAGCACAAAGGTCGAGGGCGGAGATTGTAGATTGGAGACTGCTCGTGTTCGGCCTGAGAATGACGACGCAGAGGGCGGGGGAGCCACTGGACGAGGTGAAGGATTACTTGCAAGTGTCGGGCATGAAGGGGCGGGGTGGACACAAGGGAGGCCGAAGGTGGAGACGGAGCGGTTGCAGGAGGGGTGACAACACCATCCACTCTTGTACAGAGAGCGGCAACCGATGATGATGGTGTTTTGACGATTGTTGAGAGACTTGCGTCGCCCATGGGGGGAGTATGTGTAGTACGATTCGGTCGAGCCATGTCTGCGGGAGAGCTGCAACGTGACACGTTGGAGGATCCTTTAAGCGCAGACCGCCGAGAGCGGATGAAGAATGACGCGAGGAGAGTGATAGCAGAATCACTGTCCTTCATGCCATGTAGCCCGTTCGTGCTGTCTGGTATGACGGACACCACTCCTCCTTCGTGGGATCTTGTGAGGAAGATGGAGAGTGTCAGGGCCGCTTGCGGGGCCAGTTCGAGGTCATGGGATACAGGGCCCCACAGGTCGGATGCTTTCTCATTGGGGCGAGGTGGTGATCGAGGACAGTCTTCTTCTCTCGATTCGCGGAAGAAGAAATCGGATCGCGAGTCAGCTCGATGAGGAGGGTCATTCAGGCATTACGGGACGCAACAGACAGGCTTGGCTGCATTGCGGTCAGTTGGCGCACAGGCACAGGGAGGGGACGTCTCCGTCGACTCAACCGGTTGGGGTGGAGGGCTTTCAACACACTAGACATACACATACAGGATTGGGGTTGGCCCATCGACACAGCGCTGCAGAGGAGCACATAGGGTGAGAGCGTCGGCACACCAGGCTGATGCACCTACGCAGGCTCCTCCGAATAGGGCTATGGCGGGGCTTATCTTGGGCGAGGACGTGAGGGACACGACAACTCGAGGTGCTTCAGGGACACCCATCGTCGAGTTGCCTGGGAATGATGGCGTGCCGCGAAAGAAGCACCACCTGGTGGATATATTCGCTACATATATCTCAGCGGCACGATGTCGACGGAGGCACAAGATACCGCTCGAGCTGCAGCTGGCAGGGTACCGAGGGGGGAGTGGTCGGCACTTCAGGAAGAAGACAACCATCGTGGATGGCAACGATTAGACGACCATGGTCCTCTCCTTCTATTCATCCCACACATGTTGGGTCGGAGTAAAGTATTGTTGGTAGTGCAGTTTGTATTATGCAGTGAGTGTTTTCTTTTATATACATTTTTTTGTTCTTATGGCAGTTCCCACTTTTGTCTTGGGCTGTGTACGAACTGCATACGTTTTTCCTATTTCGGACCAGTCTTCGGTGGCTATTTTGATTTGTAGATATCATGGACACATCATTGCGGACTACATACTGTGTCGGACGACGACATTTCGTGTTGTGTTTTTCCTTTTTTCCCCCCTGTGCATCTATTTGTCGCGCTTGGACAACCATGTTGTAGGATTTCAAACTCATGAGTCTTTCGTATACTACTTGTTTGCGACTTAACATTGCTGTTCCTTACATCACAATCAACACCCCCCGTAAACCTCCATAACAACCCCGTCCGGAGGCCCAAGCATCCCCTTCACCAGGATCCAGTTGACCCCTCCACCTCTTTTTATTTTTATTTATATATATATATATACACAAGTTCATCGAACAACCCCTCTTCACGGAGGGGGGCAATCAACCCCTACACCCCCGTGAACCCCAATAACACCCCCCTTAGCCCCCTACCACCCCCACCCCC